ATGACAGGCGAGGGTTTAGAAACAGTCTACGAATGTAAATAGATGACGAACATGAAATGAAATGTAACTATTGGCTCAAAGTTAAGGCGCCACCAACATAGGTTCAGTGGGAATGTCATACTACTGTGTACCATTTTTGTTGGGAAAACTGCGTGTCAAAAATACCTTTTTCAAATCCTTTCCCAAAAAAATGCCCGGATTGACTGGATTGTGAATCTCAAAAATTCGAATTTGGATTTGATCCAAAGAATTCACTAAAGGTGTGTATTTTATGGATTCATGATCCGTTTTTGGATTTGCCTAAGAAACGCACCCTAAGTTAAACTGCTTGCAAAATACGTTATTGAAGACTTATACAAAACATGGACTCCCCGCACCTCTCTGGACCTAAACCATGGACCTCTTGATGAACCTGGTCCATCGACTACCCACGTGGACAACTCCTAATTTTTGTAGATAAATTTTTACCAATTTTTTTTTTATCTGAATCCCATTAGCTAAATTCCATTCATGGGTTTGGTTTAGTTTGGACCTACTTTTAATATACTTGCCTCGAAGGTTTTTTTTTTTTTTTAACCTTGACTTCACCTTAATTCTTCCATAAGCTGGCCAAAAAAAATCCATTATCAAGCCATCATGACCTCATACAAAGCAATTAACGCAAAAAAATCGTCTCCTGTCATCTGATTCTCTTTTTACAAAACCAACAACTTAATTATTTACCGATATCAATTCTGACAAGCACACATAAACTGGGCAAGGGAAGAACAATGAGGAAATAAGAAATATAATACTCAAACAACTGGAAACAATTTCTTAACAGATGTATCGTCATCAGAACCCGCAGTGATACCAACAGCAGTTTCCACAACTTCACGAACTTCAACAAACAAGCTTTCTCAACAAGGTGAGTAATTGTCTGCATTGTTCCTTCAACTTGGACTTGGACTTGGACTCGTTCTTTTGTTTTGTGTTTGTTTTTGTTTTATTTCACCTTTAAACTTTGTCTTGGTCTATAAACTCGCCAAACAGAGAACAAACAAACAAATTTTCAATATGTAGCCATTCATGATCTCACAATAAGCCATTAACGCATAACTATCGTCTGCACCATCTGATTCTCTTTTACTAAACCAATAACTAATAACCGATAGCAATTCTGGCAAAAGCACATAAACTGGACGGGGGAAGCACAGTAATGATGATATTAAAACTATATAAATACTGAAAAAACTGGAAAACAATCTAGTGTGAGTAGTTATTATCATGCTCCTCAACAGACGTATCGTCATCAGAAGCCACAGTGATACCAACATATATTTCCACAGCTTTACTAGATTCAGCAATCAAACCTCCTCCACTCGGTGGGCAATTTTCTGTGTCTTTGCTTCAACTTTTATTTACCGTTATAGTCTAGCTGATATAGCTAAATCATTCTGAATCCATTGGTACCGGACAAATACATGTGTAACAATCTACAGATAGTCTTACATTTGAACCCTTTTAATGCAGACACTGATCTGAGGGCGCCATAGACAGTAGCGGTATCAATGGCCATTTTTATACTGCTGTCGCATTATCTGCCTGGACGAACTTGTGCAAACATTTGTAGTTCGTCTGGTTATGCGTCTTAAGCATAAAGACGGACCCGGGCACAAGACGCATTACGTGTCTGGACGAAGTATCCTTTGTAATACGTCGTGAACGACGCACTACTGAGGTAGACAAATGTTAGCAAAACTTCAGCCAGATGGTTAATTTTGCCTCCTCAGTATAAAAAAAGGCCAATGACACTTGATTTATCTTCCAACTTGCTCTATCAACTTGATAAGCCTGTTAACAAAAGCAGGAGCCTATGGCTTCTGTCTGGAAGGTCACTTCTTGTTTATTCTAAAAGTAAAGCTCTGAAAATGAAAGGAAGAGAAGCATGAAAATGCTTTCAGAGTTAAACTACTTGAGAAATACGTTATTGATGATAATTTATGCATTAGGTTCGGCACATAAATATTTCGATGTCTGAATTAAAGTCGTTCCAAAGTCGCAATACTAGGCCAGGTTAGGCTGAAACAAAGGCCGAGCAGTTCCAAATTGAAATAGAATTTATTCAGACGCCAAATGTTTCGTGTACGTAATTCCATGTAATTAGGTTCGGCACAAGGCACAAGTGAATTGAAGTTCGGTGTCATAACTAGATTAAGACTAGGTTAAGTTGCACTGTTTCTTAAGTCTTTTAGGCCCTGTTAAGACGCCACCCCACTCACGTGTCGAGCCTGACTGAATAGAGAGAAGTGTAACGTCTCGTTACCATGGTAGCAAAATGTTTGGATCACAGGTATGAGGAGCTTAAGAAAGACCCCGGCGAGTACGTGAACACAGCGCAAAAATTTTCTTTCTTTCTTTTTTTTTTTTTTTAACAATGCGAAATCTCTTTTTGAGTGAATTTTCGGGTTGCTGTCATCTAAAGATTTTGCTTCCATGGCAACGTGAGAAGCGACTTCTTATCTCTATTTAATCCTACTTTGGAGCAACATTGGCGCTGCCACTGATTCCGTGAGACGGCGTACGCGTGTCGATCCTAACCTTGATTTCATTTACAGAGAAAGAGAAAGGCCAGGGTACAATACCATATTTTTGTGCCATAATTGATCATTTTAGACAAGATAGCGATTCATTTGAATCATTACATTCGACATTTTCGTGCTCTTTCACTGTCTGTAACTTTTCGGAAACATGGCTCACAATTTGCGACTGAACTGACCGCTATCCAGCCCTTGAGAGAACAAGGAATACAAAAGTATTCCTGGCACCGTAAACAAGTTTCTTATCTTTTGTATTCCTGCCACCGTGAATAAGTACCTATTGTATTCCTAAAGCAAGATGAGCAAGATTATCCCTCTTTACCCGCCATTTTCCTCAATTTAGTGTTGTGCGGTTGGCAACTACCTAAAAACGAGCGCAATTGTTGGGCAAAAAAAGAATATAAATTTAAAGTGTGTATAATGTTTGCATTAGGCTCTGCACTTCAGAGGAGCGCCGTATGAATCACCTGCCGCTCGAATGACGTATAATGCGAGTACTGACTGTGTTGAATTTGGTGTTTTTGCCACACTAAATTAAACCTGCTTTACCAAATTGATTCAGACGCGGCCCTTTTGCCCTATTTAAGTCAACGACCAAACAGAACGGGAAAATGAAAAATGGGAACAAAACTTAACTTGAACCCTAGCCCTATCGGTAAATTCATTACTATTCTCTTTCTCGTTCTTATTCTCATTTTCCCGTTGCCCTTGCTCATTACCCACTCCCGGTTCCTTGTTTTACTAACATCGGCTATTAATCTCCAGGTTGTTATTACGTATGCACCCCACGTATCAGTGATCTATAGAGCCATCTTCGTTTTGACTTCCACAAAGTGCAGTAAGGACCTTCTGTCACTCGTAATTTAATGAAACGTGTTTTGAGCATCTATAACGTGACTCCTATACGCAATGCACAGCGTTGGAGCAAAGCGTTTTGACCTTCGATCGTTGTCGACCGAACTCCGCAACCTTTGGTTATTACTAGTTTCAACTAATTTTATGTCTTTGGTTTTCGTTTTTCTATTGTTTCTTAACTCAGCTTGTCAACAAGGGTGGATTTGCAACGGGACGTCATGTTATAAATTGGTTACGTCACTAACATTGAGTTGGGGAAAGGCAAAGGAGGAATGTGAAAAATGCCAGGCCGGATTGGTAAAGGTTGATTCTCGTGAAGAAAATGATTTCATAAAAACGGAGCTTTTGCCGACGCACAAAGACGCTGGTTACTGGATTGGACTTTCTGATTCTGACAACGAAGGTGACTGGATGTGGACGGACGGAACTCAATTGGATTCGGATGGGTACAAAAACTGGGAAGATGACCACCCGAAAAATAACGAAAATAATAATGAGGATTGTGTTGTAATAAGAATAAGAAAATCCGATCCAGTCTACCACGGGAAGTGGCGTGATCTACCATGCTCATTAGACAAGAAATTTATTTGTGAAAAGTAAGGGCATGTTGATAGTTTATAAGGCCTGAATCTTACGTCAAGCTCTATAATTGCTACCATATTCAGAGCTAGCCTGCGCCACAGACGAAACTATAACAACGCCGAAATAAATCCGTGTTCCGGGCCCCCACCTGTGTACCAGGATTTCACTACGCACCTAGGTTTTGATAGATTGTGCTAGCATAATTAACAATTAGTTCATGCGTCAGCGTGCGTATGTCGAGGTATTGAGCACGCGGGAAGTTTGGAGAGCACGAAAGAGGCGTAAGAGTTGCACGAGGCGCAGCCGAGTGCAACTCTAGCCTCTTGAGTGCTCTCCAAACTTCCCAAGTGCTCAATATCTCGACATACGCACAGCTGCAGCATGAACTAATTGTTTTATAACATTATCAAAGCGATCAATGCAGCAGTTAACTGAAAATTTTATTATTGAAGGGCGCGCTCAAAGCAGTACGCGTTAATGTTTACGTGAATATATCTTTTTTCCTCACAGTTAATCTTATGTTTTTATCCTGAAACTGAGAGAAAGTGTACTCTAAAATGATTGTAAAATCCATATTTAGGTGCCGGAAAACTATTAATTTACCGAAAAATTGTTATTGAGAGAAAACAACTTTGCAAAGAATGAGCTCACGTCATAGCCCGCACAGCTCGCGGAGATGACAACAACAACAACACTCACCTCTTTTCCTTACTATCGGTTAACAAATTCAAACGTTTCCTCTTAAATTTCTTTACAAAACACATGGTAAACGCTTCGTTGTCTATTGCTGAGTTATGGATGCACTCAGGAGACTCAGGATTGCTAAGCTCACAACAACTCGAGGAATTACGAATAGTTTATTGACGTCATCAGCGTGCTCAATAGGAATATGAAGCACGCTCGCGATATTGAATTTGATTAGGCGAATTTTCTAGCTATGTTATAATACTTGGTATAATTCTTCATCACGAACATAATTTTTACCCATATTGCGAAAGAAAGGCACTGCTAGCATTATTCACACTTTCCGCTAGTTTTGCAGCACAAAAATTGTCATTCATGGATTATCCAACCATTTTTTTTTTCGCGCGAAATCAGTGTTACTGACAGTCAAACTTACGGAACAAAATCATTTTCTTTGTCTCTTTATTGCGACATTCATGAGAACTTAGTCCCCACAGGAAGTAACCCAGGATTCTTTAAACAGAACTCAACGCACGCACATAATTAGCTCATTTACCCAAGATGGTGTCCCCGTGCTGGTTGTTAATTGTTCGAGTTTTCGTAATGTATGCACTCTTAATGTTTCTACATACTACTAGGTTAAATGTGTTTGCACTTACTTTTTTGTTGTTATTGAAGTGCTTTTACGAAATTAAAACAACAAAAAAAACATAAACGCATAATTTAACGGAAGCAAACTTATACAAAAACTAGCTTAATTATTGGCGTAATTTTAGGAATATATACAAGCACTGCGAGTAACATAGTATGCTACTTTTGCGAACTCAATCTATAAAAGTTTATACGAGCCATGACTGGCTTGTTAAAAAAGCCATTGTTATTTGCTAATGGAGTCAAAAGGGAATTAGAAACGCACAAGCGTTGATGCATTGAGTTCGTTTTTTGCCCAGAACAAGGATATCGGCACTGCTTTGCAACGTTTATTACTAACTGGGGATAAATTAAGTCTGCTACGCAGCCTAAATGATAGCCCGCAACTCAAATACATCTTCTTTGGAAAAGCATGACGTTTATTAAGCGTCAGCATGTTTTGCTGCGTTTAATGTTTTTGTTTGTTTTGATTTTTTTCATTTGTTTACTGCTCCTTTTTCCTGAATTTGGCTTTTTACATTTGCAATTCACTTTGGACTGTTTCATTCCTGTCTGAAACGTTTGAATGCCATAATGTAGGCCAGGAACCAAAGGAACTGGAATTTCTTTTGGCTTACCGAGGGCCAACTGTTACTCCCTTGGTTTCATACAGTCCTTTGCCGGTGTCTTTTTGCTTTATTTCCGTGTAATTTTGCACTATATGTTTACACCGTTCTATAGTAGGGGCCAGCTGTTTTACCGGCATGCATCGTTGACAAAATCGCTATATAAGCAAAAATACAGCGATTTTGTTTCTATTTTACACAAAAATTCGCAATTACTATTGACAAATACGCCAAAAATTTCAGTAAAATAGAATTATTTAACATTTAGCCAATAGAAAACTTTTTCTCGTCTTTGATTGAAGCCTGATAGTAAACACCAAAGGGCTAGACACTATGTAAACGTGAGACGACTTCGAGAGCTTGAGTAACTTTCAAAAACCGCTTTTATAACAATTAATAACTTAAAATCCTCTCAAATAAGCTAACTTCCAATTTCAGGTGGTATTTTTTGCCAGCTAAAAAGTCACCTTTTGCATGGCTACAAACCAAGAATAATGAATGCGAATAACAAATCATTCCTTTGGATACGGATACATACATACATAATCTTTATTTAAGTGTCTAATCGTTCTAGTGCCTATTGGCACTAATTGGGGACACCTAATACCCATGAAGGGGATGGGGATACCCATGAAGAGATTAGGTATAGGCCTGTCCACACGGTGGCTAAGGCCCCGTCCAAATGTATCCTGATATTTTTCAATTCGCAAATTTTTCTTCGAGGATTCAAAGGTTTCCACGTCCACACGTATCTGTATTCAAATCGAATTTGCCCGTCCACACGTATTCGGATTCACTCTCAATTCGTCAGCTAATTTATAAAGCGATGTCCGGCTCATGCGAAAATTTTATCGCCAATCTTCTTCAATAAATGTTTCACTAACAAAATTGTCCCACAAAGCACTAGACCGCTCGTTTAATAACTTGTTTCCAGCGTCCAATTCGTGACATTCGTCCGTCCGATAAGGAAAGGTTCAAAATGTCAATCCGCCGTGTGGCATAATTGAGGCCGGTCTAGGTTATAAGACTTGAAACTGAAGTCTAAAAAAAGTGATAACATTACGCTGGGCACCGTCTTGAATATTCACTGTAAATTTTCCGGGTTTAGCGTCCACACGATTCTGGATCCATAGCGTATTCAAAAATGTCCTCTCTGGAGAGTGAATTCAAAAAGTTGTGGATTCGTACGCCGGATACTCCGGATACGTGTGAACGGCAGCCGAATCCGGAAAGAAAAGGTTGCGGATTCAAAAATATCCGGATACGTGTGAACTGGAAATTATGATACCCACTTATTTCTTTGAGACTGGAATAAAAACTACTTTGACCGTCATAAGGCCATGCCAATAAAATGTTTCTTCTCCCATCGCCCCGTCACTTGTGATGGTGGGTCGGTTGGTCGGGCAAAAAAAAAAAAAAAATGAATGAATGAACACTTGCCGGGGTCTGGGTTCCACAGAAGGCCGGGCTGCTAAGTAAGAAAGCCTGGTTACAAAGTCAACTCGAAAACGTGGTCTTTTCGACTATCAAATGTCTATACGGCCTTTAAAAAAGTAGTATGGATGTCAATTAACGACAAGGACATCACATCATACCAAGAATTGATGATAATAAAACAAGATCGTATGCTTGTAAATTAAAGTACTTGCTTCTTTGACTAGGGAACTTGAATTTTTTTTTTTTTTTTTTTACTTTTCGAAAAAGAATGGGTCGGTCGGGCGATTGAAAACGAAGCATTTTATTGGGATGGCCTAATAAGGAAACTAAAAATTTTTTTTTTCAACTATAGAATGTTCACCCTTTCCTTGGAGGTTGTTCTAAGTAATTAACTATCCTTGTATCTATGATATCTAAATAGCCTTTTAGAAATGGTAATGTATTGTGTCTTTTTAATTTCGGAGCTTTGTACGGGACCTTACTTAATGCAATAACTGACCCTAAATGATGATGATGACGATAATAATAATAATAATAATAATAATAATAATAATAATAATCAGTTTATTAAACCCTTTGGTAGTGTATAACACTAAATTACAAGGGAGTTCAAGAATACGCAGAACACATAATGACACATGGCACAGTAGGCGAAAACAATTAAATCCTATTGTAACTGTGGGTAACAAAATTACTAAGGCGGTCCGTTCTGACAAGGCGGAATTCAGAACGGGAAAAACCAGACCTCAACCCGTACCCATGAGCGACATTCGTGGGCTGCGGCAGCAGGTGTGAAGTTTAGTAAAGTACTAAATGTAGTAACATTTACAACATTTATTTAGTAAAGTACTAAATGTAATAACATTTCAACGCAACTGTAATCATAGTCCTAAAGGTCATAACATTTGGCCTTAAATGTAATACAACCTTAAATGTAATTTAAATTCTTAAACTCGGTAATAAACTCGATCTTTAATGTTATGACGTCAGTCATGTCATTGTCAATAACATGACCCACAGATTACAACACCCAAGTGAATAATGGAACACCAATCACGTGCCTTCTTATCTTGGATAAAGTCGGTCGCATTCACCAACCAAGAACAAGCAATCATCGGTTGCAGAGCAAGTAAGTCGAATGATCGACTGTTTCACGATTTCTTTTTTGGAGAGTAATAAAAACCTTTTTTAAAATATATTTCAAACCTAAAGGGGAAGGGGGCGGGGGGTGGGTGAGGACAAATTGGGCGATAATCGTGTGATCCAATAAGGCGGCCAGCAGACTACCACTAGCCCAAAGCAGTTTTTCTTTCAAACCACGGCCCGTGGTAAAGAACAGTTCATAAGAAAGTTTTTTTTTTGTGACAAAAAGCTGAGGGTTACTCGAAAATGGCCTATTGCTCAATAGGAGGTTATACAGTCAACTCTCCCTAAGACGGACACCTTTGGGACAGGCACTAGCTGTCCGTCTTAGAGAGGTGTCCGTCTTATAGAGAGTCAAATAGAGGGAGCAAAGAAAGGCAGGGACCAACTCTAGGTGACCGTTTCACAGAGGTGTCCGTCTTATAGAGGTGTCCGTTAAGAGAGAGTCGACTGTACTGAAAATAATGGTGTAATTACACAGGTACTAATCCGCCGGTT